TTTATTTATATTAATTAATATTTATAATTATTAATTATTTTTAACTACCAAATAAATACAATTTCATTATTCTTGTGTGGTCTTCAAACCTTTCTGTGTGGCAATGGACCGACTAGAAGTGAAAATATATGTCGAAGCTTCACTTTTGTTAGAGATATTATTGGGACTGGAGCTACGAAAAATATAAATCCAATGGCTGCAATGATCTCCTAGCTTTTAAAATTCAAAATGTTCTATGATTTGTCTAATTTTTGGTGTAATTATTGTTGTTTGCCAACCACGCAATGGATTGATATTTCATTGGCATGTGAATCTTTTGCGTTTGTTTTCTTGGTACAAAATCTTTCGTACGGCATACGGTGTTCACCGTCGTGCTTAGTTGGAATTGATCCCTCATATTCATAATTGGGGCTACCCTATTAGTAAAATCTCTTTCATTAACTATGACTAGATTTTATTTTTTTTAATTTTGAATTGAATTGTAAGAGATAATTTTTTTTAGGTTTTTAATCTAAGTTTAGGTTTTTAATCTAAGATACCCTTATATTATGTTATCTAGATATATAATTTATTATTGTTGTAGATATTATATTAATTTTTTTGTATATCATTGACCTGTTCTAAAAATTAGGTTGTATGTTGATTTTGTGAATAATTTGTAATTTACAAACTTATTAAATCAAAATTTTTAAGCATATGAGTATTACAATAAAGTTGTAAAATAAATAGAGTCAAATTCCTTAAAACTTAAATTTGAGCTGATATTATGTACAATAATAAACCAACTCAATTCGAATAACTTGAATTTGAACTTGATTCATAAATTTTATTTAGTACTCAAGTTTAATATAGGATTTGGATTTAATTAAAATTAAAATTTTGATCAATATTTCATATATATTTAGTTTTTAATATAATTGAGTAAGGTTAACTTTAAATTATAACTCATATTCAACTCTACTTAATTTTTCATGGTGAGTTTTCAACTCAAACTTGATTTCAAATAAAGTTGAATCCAACTTAAGTTCAAGTTGGGTAATATAACCCATTTACAACACTAATTACACCAACTTTGAAATCTTAATGACTACTAGAAGAATGTCTAGAACTGCAAAATTAACAAAGTGAAGGTTGAGGACTAACTTATACTTTGAGTAAAAAATTAAGGACCAAAGAAAGCAATTTAGCTTAGACGGAGAGAAGAAAACACAGCATTTGTTTTCACGACAATTCACGTGCTTCGTTATAAAATTATTTA